ATACTGTACTGATATTTATAGAACATAGTCAAATAAATGAGAAAAAATATCATTTTCCTTGAAAGCTTATTGAAATCAGTTAAAAATAATCTATTCACTTCTTTATGTTTTGAATTAGTTCTAGTGAAACCTTTCAGAGGATTTTTAACAGAAACATGCATCTAAGATTAGGTGACTGTCTCGAACAAACAGCAAGGAGTTGTTGGAATGAGGAGGTTGCATAGATTATTTCCTGAGCTACACGGACAAGTTTTACAAAGAAAACTTTAAAACTGTAAATATTTACTAGGAAAACAAGAAGTGAAAATCAAAACCAGTCCACTTTATGGATTCTGAAAGGAATCAATGTATGTTTCACTGAAAGCAACTTCATTTTTCTCAGATGAAAATATTATGAATAGGTTAGAAATTAATGACAACTGATGAACCTGCAAAGTCTATGAGAAGATATTACAAGGAAATTAAAAAGATGACTAGAAGAGAGGGAATCAAAAAGTAGCCAGGACCAAACACTTATTTAGACATATTCCATCAAGCAAAAAAGGAAAGAAATACAAAGCTGAGGAAATGTTATGGTGTAAACCACTTCTTTAAAATAATTGTTTATTTGTTTTTAATAATCAATAACATGGTAGATTCCTCAGGTATTTCATATAGATCAGCCCAGAGAACACACAGTGTATGGAGGGAAATGTTAAAGTCTGGGGAAGGAAGATGGTGAACTGTATACTGTATAGGTATGTCATACAGCATACTGTACAGCATACTGTAAGGTATGTCACTCTCATGTCTGTCATTTTTAAGTGTGGAAGACTCTCAGGCTCAGAGATGAAAACAGAGACTGGTTGGACGGACCGAAATGTAAAAGGAACTAATTGCTGCTTCCAAAGCAAAGCAAAACAAAACTATTAATTGCCCTTATCTATTATTTAATTTTATAGGAATTTCAATCATAGTGTTTTAGCAGTACAGTATCTGTAGAAAGAAAACCAAATGTTTCATATGGGCATTCTTTAGACACAAAGCTCCAGGTCTGCATGCACAATTATTACCAAAAATTATTTTTGTATTTATCCAGGAATAGGCATAATCAGAGAGCGATTCTGAGCCACAGTGAGATAGTCTGGATTACATATTCAGCATCAAGAATTTTACTGTAAAGAAAGGTTTGTTGTTGACTCTTAGGAAAATAGGGAAATGATAAAAATGCATACAAAAATACAAAACATCCACAGAATGTGGCATTCATATTAAATTAATTATAAAGAGGGAAAATAGATGATAATTGCATTGTACATTTATGTTCATTATGGTTTTGGATTTCCACTATTGCTACGTGAAACAATTTGCAACATTAATACTTTTTGTTTGTTTTATTTTATTTTATTTGTAAGGTATATTCTTCACAGGGGGAATCTGTATTATTTCAGGAACATGAATTTTACTGCTAACATTTCTCTTAGCACAATACCTTCATATCCCTGACCTCACCAAATATATACTATAATTTTATTATTTCCAGGGTTTGTCTGTCAAGATCAGTTGTTAAACCACACAAAAAAATGGAAGTTCACTAAAAGTACTTACTTTTAAGCACAGAAAATAACCAGGCAGCAAAATTTCTTGATTCTCTTATAATTGAGTGGAATCCAACTTATTTTAATTTTTGAAATAACTCATATTAACCAACATTTTTTTTTGTTCAAACAAAGCAAATGGCTTCATGACACTATGTTATTCAACTGCATGAGGATTGGAAAAAGCTCGTAGTATTTGTATCACAGCTGGAAGTACAATGGGAAAACTTTCTTTTGTGTCAGAATTGCAAGTGAGGAGACTATGTAATCATATCTCATCACTATATACCAACTGCAGGTATTTTGGAAACACTGTGGCAGATGACCTTCCATGCATGTTTTTTTTTCAGTCTCCTGAGAGTTCTTCCATTTGTGAAGCAGATTCCTCTTTGTCTTCTTCCAGGCATGTAACAAAGCTTAAATGCAAAAGGTTTCAAGATGCCAAAATTGTTGGTCTAATTTTTCTACAGCTGACAGGGAAATGTATTACTGTTACTCTTCTCTGTCCACTGCCAGGTTATATATCCTCCTCCACCCTCCTGTTGAACAGAACTGATCCAAATCATCCCTTTGAGATGTTTCTGCATTAAATTAACAATCACATTTAAGACTCAGGTGAGTCAATATAATTTCCTTTTGAAAGAATAGTCTGAGGCAAGGGAAGAATACTGATTAAGTAATTTAAAAAAGATAACATTAAAAAAACATGGAATAAAATCCCATAGTATTGACAAGACCAACCTGAAGGGTCAAAGAGCTCTGGAAGACGTGCTAGCTTTTTATTTTTGAAGATTATCTACACTTTAAAAAACTTGGGAAAAAAAGAAGAAGAATATAAATTACTTAATATCAGCATCATTTACTGGTCCTACACTCTTTAGGATGTTTTCCATATGAGACAAATATTCTTGCCAGGATTTGTGGGAGAGGATTTATCTTCAAGTTATGATTCAGAGGACTTCACTGCCTATCTTCCTCCATTGCAATACTGACTTTTATTACCAGCCTCATGGAAATACTTTTTAACGGTACTTTTTTCTCCCTTTCAACTGCCTTTCTGTCATACTTCTATTGCATTTTTATTGCCCCCATCTGTTATAGTTACACCACCAGCAACTACAATAGTTCTTCTAGTAAAAAAAAAAAAACATATATTTCTGGCACATGGATTTAACGTGCATTTGCTTGCTATCATTGGCTGTAAATAGACTAATTTCATCAGAGTCATTGAATTTCACAGTTTCTTAGAGTTAGGTTTTAAGATAGCTGAGAGGAGAACAATATTGTGAGGGGGGTTTCTTCCTCCTTTATTGCATTCTTTCTGTATCTAAATGCTGCTGCCATCTTCAGAAGAAAAGTATAACAAAAGCCCACACAACATGGGCAGTTAAAATTCAAAGGACCACTGCACCTTAAAATTTCTTTTCATAAAATGTACAAGGATGAAATCTTCTCAGAAATATAGTTCTTATTATAGAAACACCAAATACAAAGGATATGTCCAGGAGAAGGCTAATAACAACTCACAGGCGTGATCCTAACACTCAACAGTAAACAGAATCAAGCCACATTTAAATAAGCATGGCTGAAATGACACAGTGCAATCCAACACCTGTCATGAATCTTGCCCAATCACTTATAAATTAAAAAAAATTCCAAAATTCTCCAAAAGAAAGAACTTTACTGGACAATTTACCATACTAACGGACACCCTAACATACCTTAAATTTTCCAGATACTGAAATGCCAGTTCTTTTTCTATGGTTTGAAATAATCTATATAATATTAAGTTGCACCTCATTCATGCTGCTTCTGATATACTTCTGAAAAGAAAGGTATTCACAGTGGCATTTATATTTTGGAGCGAGAAAGAAAATAGTGGAGTCAGAAGACTTTTCACAGCTGGAGAGTTACATTAGCACTCTCACCCTACTGACATAGTGGTTTACAGTAAACTTGAATCTATCCAACTGTGTGAGAGAAAATTAAGATATGGGAACACTCATATGGAGATTTAAGCACTGTAATCAGGGTTTTATTTGAACACCTCTCCTGGAGGTTTCAGACAGGTTAAACCACAGCTACAGGAAATATTAATGTCTTTTGAGTGAAATGAGTCTAGAGGACTGTTGGATTCAAATGACAAAAGATCATTCCACAAGTAATTCCTTATGATTGTTACAATATAAAAGAATAACAATTTTTGCGATTTAACAATGAATATTCAAAAATTTAACCAAATACAGAACCAGCTAAATCTCCACCCTTGCTATACTTAATTATATGTTAACTGCTTTTTATGTGGATAAAAAATAGGAGAATTGAATGATTGGACAAAGAGTTGTATCACAATTTCTTGAAGAATTCATGTCAGAAAATACCTGATGAATATTCCATATGAATTATTAATCCTTCCATGATGCCCAGCAATTTTTCAGGAAGAATCAATTTTTTTTCTTGAAAAACTGCATACTTTCTCAGAAGTGCAGAAGCAAGAACATTACCATTAAAAACTTCTTTTATTACTCCAGTCTGAAGAGACAAATAGAATGGTTCTAAGAAAGTACCTTGTCAGAACCCAGAAACCTCATTAGAATCTCAGAGATTTAAAAATTCAGATGAGTTGATTCAACACCTGTGATGGGACTCCTTGCAAGCTGTGCTAATGCAGTGCTGTGATCAAGTGTTCTCAGTATTTCAAACATTTATAGGAGGCTCCTGCAAACCTGAGCATACCAAATCAAGTTTGCATTTGTGCTAAACTGTGTAGACATGTTTTTAACTGGAGAAGGCCTATAGTCTAAATCCATACACTCCCATACCCCTAGTTCCCTTGAGAATATGGATCTAGATTAACTAGCCAGTAGAAAGTGATAATCTGCTGTTTAATTTTGAGAATTTAGGACTTTCACAAACTTTCCTTTGACTTTCATGCTGAGTGTTCAAACTCTTCCAATGTTAACAAGGACAATCCCAATTCACAATTAACGACATAACAGCAAAATATTTCTTCTTTAAAAAGAGAACAATTACGTAAAATGTAACATATTTACCTTACGTGAGAGGAAAATAAGCTTTCTGGAAGAAAATGTTCAAGGTGGACTTAGTAAACTCCAGAGAATTTTCCAGTAATAAAATTTATTCATTTCCAGTTTGTAATAATCAAGGTCAACTTACGTATTACTAATTCCAGTTTTCAAGCTTTAGTAACATGCTCACTGACTGTTATTACATAGTCATTGACAAAAAGATATTGATACGATGAAGCTTTCAGTAAACTTCAGTGTATTAAAATGCACTCAGATCCTTAGTCATGGAGGGCATCAATCTAATGCAGTTATTAAACAGACGAATAACCTAAACATTTGTTATACTTATTTTACTGATGAAATGGCTCCAGGATTTAAATTATTCATTACTTACCCCTGTTCTTTGAACTTCCAAGAAAATTGCTCTTTGAAATGATTTCTCCCACATGGCCAATTCACTGCCCAGTTCTACATTGAAATAATGACTCTTTCCGTGTCCAGCCATAACACTGAAACAATACGGCCTCTGGTCTTCAACATCAAAGTCCTGATGAATACCTAAATACAAGTTTGCTTGTAGCCAGCAATCATCAGCAAGCCAGAGCTGAAAGACATGTTGCAGTAGGTGATTCTTCATCTGGCAAAAGCAAACAGTTGAAGCAACATTCTCTTCTGTAAGTTGATGGGTATGTTATGGCATTATGTCATTAATTACCTTGAAGAATGGTCTAAGAATTAAGTAATAATGTCAAAGACAACTTCTCTCTTTGCTTCATATTCACTTTACTCTGCATCACATAATCCAAGATACTTCTTCAGTTCCAAAAATACTGTCAAAATTACCTAAGCAATACATATCAAATTTAAAATTAGTTTGTACCAATATATTTTTTACAGTGAAAAGGAAGGAAATCCCTCTTTGAATACAATCTGAGAGCTGTGTGCCAGCCCTACAGGAGAATATAATTCATCCATTCTAATTGGGATCCAATATGCTAAACCCCTAGGAGTGAATGGAGTAATTTATCAAGTACCAAGAGCTAATTCTGGAAATGACAACATAAGCATGTCCCCTGATAGCCTCAATGCTGTTCTGTAACTACAAGGAGAACAAAGCGAGATCCTGCCATCACCTTCAAGATAAAGAAGAGAAACTTCACTTTAAACTTTCATAATAAAAATATCTCTGTAATAGAATGTTTTGTAAATGAAAACAAATTCAGACAAGAAACTTCCCTAATATTTCAAGACTTCATTGATTACCATAAATATAGAGAAAAAGAAATCTAAATAAAAATGCTACTACTTACACATCTAGAAATTTTTACAGCCTAAATTTCCAAATTACACATATTTTTAAATTTCTGTTTATCAGATAGGGCCCTTTTCTATCTCCATTTCTTTATGATATCATGGGGCAGAAAAGACTGAAAGAACAAAATAATTAGCAATGAAAATTATGTTATTTTTTAAAGTCGCTTGCAAGCAGAATTGTTTTTCTCTAGCACTCCAGTTTAAGTTTGGAAATCTGAATCTAGTCAAGCAGATCTGAGGTAGAAGCAGTCATGTTTGAACTGGATTTAGGTGTCTTTGAAAAGATTAGCATGCGGCTTTGTGCTCTACCCAAGTCCTAGAATCTTGTAGTCTGGATAAGTTGTATAAAGGTTCAGAATTTAGTTTTCTATTACCTTGACTAGCCTATCATAGAATCATAGAATCATAGAATTAACTGGGTTGGAAGAGACCTCTGAGATCATCAAGTCCAACCCTTGATCCAACCCCACTGTGATTACTAGATGATGGCACTGTCATGTCCGGTCTCATCTTAAAAACCTCCAGGGATGGTGAATCCACCACCTCTCTGGGCAACCCATTCCAATGCCTGATTACTCTCTCTGTAAAGAACTTCTTTCTAATATCCAACCTAAACCTCCCCTGGCAGAGCTTAAGCCCGTGCCCTCTTGTCCTATTGCTGATTGCCTGGGAGAAGAGACTGAGCCCCACCTGGCTACAACCTCCTTTCACGTAGTTGTAGAGACTGATGAGGTCACTCCTGAGCCTCCTCTTCTCCAGACTAAACAACCCCAGCTCCCTCAGCCTCTCCTCATAGGACTTGCGTTCAAGTCCCTTCACCAGCCTGGTTGCTCTTCTCTCGACCTGCTCCAGCACCTCAATATCTTTCCTGATCTGAGGGGCCCAGAGCTGAACACAATACTCAAGGTGTGGCCTCACCAGTGCTGAGTACAGGGGAAGGATCATTTCCCTGCTCCTGCTGGCCACACTGTTCCTGATCCAGGCCTGATCCATCCTGTAGCGCTGCAGGGGGTTATTGTGGCCAAAGTGCGGGACCTGGCACTTGGCCTTGTTGAACCTCATCCCATTGGAATCAGCCCAGGTCCCTCTGCAGAGCCCTCCTGCTTTCCAGCAGGTTGACACTCCCTCCTAACTTGGTGTCATCTGCAAATTTGCTATCATTGCCTATTGAGGCTGTAGTTGAAACTCTATGCACATGAAAACAAACAATTGACATTTTAGCATCCAAGTGTAATTTAAAATATTCTGATACATGTAAAATTAATGTTCAGGGTCTTGTGTCCCTCCTGTTCTAGACACACACTCAAGTATCCTCACAGGGCAGCAGTGAAGATCCCCTGTTTAGTAACAAAAAGCAGAGGAAACAAATACTCTGCTACCACACACTCCTCTGTGTACTGCTCTCATATTCATAAACAGAATTAAAACTGGAAATCAACTAGAACTGAAAATTTTACTTGTCCTGGTGAATTACTGACTAATATAAAGCTGGCACACACAACCTTATGTAATTTACTCCAGTCTAGCCTGTGGATGTTTCATGGGGCACCTTGGTAGACAGCACTTTGTTGTCAAAATTGGCCCTGCAGCTACCTGAGGAGAGAAGAGACTTGAGGAATCTCAAAGCTCTTTTACAACACCCCTCTGGACTGTTGAAAAGGAAGCTGAACAAAATACTGCATTTGTTCTGGTGTTGAGCTGCTATGGAGTGACAGGTATTACATCTGCTTCACAGCTCACTGCAGCACATACTGCATATAGCTTGTAGACTACTATATTAATATTTTGTAATTGGTATATGAAAATACCAGGCAATAAAAGAACATAAAATGTATGTAAGACAGGTGGCTTTTACAAATGTGTCTAATATTCTTGCCCCAATAACAAATTCCAATAAAGATGAATTATGAGGCAACAGGGATAAACACCTGTGATAAAAGATTTTACATTTTCAGTTATCTGGTTGTTATCACCAAATGTCCACGATTATGCAAGGCATGTTATATATACAAATTTTAATTCACATATTTGCATATGCATGTTTGTCTTTGCAAACGTGTATCTTTAGAAATGTATACACACAAAGAAATCTAAAATATATATCAAACATTTTGTTTCAAAATGTAAATTCCATACTGGGTTCTAATTTTCCATGCTTAACTTTGTGTAAAAATAAACATAGATGAGAAGCTTACAGTTAGGTATGAGCATCTCTCCTTCAAATCCATCTTTCATAAGAAGAAACAATAGCACACTCTATCAAAGTTCTGTGCTACTTCTAACCAGCTTCAGAAAATCCTTAAGACCCTCCCCAAACAGCAGTTTTGATAACATAACTCTATCTTTCATATGCAATGCAGAAACCTTAATCCCTTAAGATTTTTTCCTATCTTTTTGGATTTGCTCAGTTTGTCTCACTGCCATTTATACTAAAGAATCAACACAAAGGAGGTTAAAGAGTTGAACTTGGGCTTTTGCACTTTAGCTAACATATTCATGAAGACTGGTAATTAAGCACTCATTTATTAAAATGTCAAGAACATTAAAGATTTGAATTTTCGATAGTTTATTTCCCCACTCTTTTTTTAATGAAAAAGTATCACAGAAGTTGCTTTAAGGACAGAATATCCTTGAAATTATCATAATATTCAAGAAAGGACTGAGTTTCAGCAGTAACATTTAAAGGAGAAAAAAACAAAACCAAAACTCAAGCAGAAATCTTTTCAAAAGGCATACTGAGTATATATTTAATTGGTGCCTGACATATTTATCAGCAAATAGTAAAATTTTAATAAATATTTAGAATGAATAAATGATCTGGGGCAGAATCTCTGCTTTTTGTTGGTGTCTGTGATGGGCAGGACCCAAAGTTGCCCACATAAACCCAGCTGGTTGCATTAAAGGAATGCCATGCCTGCAAGAATATGGCTGTGCTCCTGTGTCTTGCACTGTGGAGCTGAGGTCTAGTCCTGAACTCCAGGATTGTCGTTTTTCCTGGCATGGCACTGACCAAAACCCTTCCTTTCTATGTCCTGAATAACTGTTGCATCAGAACAAAACAAAACAGAAGACAATACAAAGCAAAACAAACCAACCAACCAACCTCAAAACAAAACCAAAACCAATCATGAATGCCAAAACAAAACAAAACCCCTTCACTAAACCCATAAGGACTTCTTTTTCAGTGCAGGATCTGTACAGGTAAAAGGGCAACAAGCTGCCTTTTCCACAACTTGAGTACATGGTCAAAAGAAAAAGGACAGCAGCCACTGAGAAGTAAAGCTGAGCTGTAATCTTTGAGTGAAACGGTATTTTATCTGAAAAGATGAATTTTTATTTTTTTCCTGAAAATATGTTTGTTTTTTTTTACTCTCCTAGATAAATAGGCTCTCATGGAGCATTATCTCACCTCCAAAGCAGTTTTTGATTAGCTGGTAGAAAACAAAATTAATCTATCTGATGCAATTTATTAGAAAATATATTCTGTAAGTCAATTATTTAATTTTTTTTGCCCCAACTCCTTGCTTGGGACAAGCTAGACAGAAAACATGACTGCATCAAGCTGGGGGAAGAAAATGAATCCTATGGAATACAAATCCAACATGTTGTCCCTTTGTAAGGCAAAACCTATCATACTGTTACCTACTGTAATACTTGCAAATTATATATGATATAACAAGGACATAATTTTATATTTGTAGTTACTGAAATTAAAGAAAAATATTTACATAGGTAAAAACTTATAGTAAGAGCATTTTGCATCATGTTTGCCCAAAAATCTGACTCATTAAGAAAAAAGTAGTCTTGTTATGCTTAGCCATGTGTCTCACTGGTACTTCATACAACCAGCTCTAATACTGAAAACTTTCTTCAACATGAAAGTACATGAGTAACTTGCTCACTTGGAGCTTAATCCATTTTCCATATGCTCTTATAATTGCACAGTTAATGCACTAAAGATTACAAATAGTTTTTATAACAACAGATGAACTATCTGAATGTTAGTTACTCCTAGTTAAGATTACCTTGAGCTTATCATCAACAGGAAAAAGCAAGCTTTTTTTACTAAATAATGTCATTGTAATCAATAGGAAACCTACCTTGTGAATTTTAAATAGAACCTCACAGAGGTTATAGATTTTTTCAGCTCGTACCCAGTCTAGTGTGCTTACCTATAACATCAAAAGAAAATATTGTCAACACATTCTTTATTCAAAAATCTTGTAGAGATGAAAAACCTAAAAAGATTTCACCCATCATTATTCTACTGGATGCTTTAAATACAGGCACATTGCTACACTTAATATCCAGCAAATACTATTCAATTTTTACAGAAACAGTATTAGTGTAATTAAAAGATACTAAAAAAATTAATTGATTTTTTTTAAGAGTATTACAGAAGTTCTTTGTAATCTCTGTGGTGAGTTCTGTTAGTATATTTATTTTTCAAGATGTTAACACAGAGAATCCAGAGTCATTCAGCTTCATGTCTCAATCTTAATAAAATCTTGGAACCAACAGAACTAGATGTATTCCTAAATTCAGGTCTGAGTTTACATGCATTAGGGTGTCAGTAACTCAATATTTATTCTAAAACTAGGACTATGTGACTGAAATATTTGAATTTAAGAACCATGTCAACCTTGTGCTTAATAATATGAAAACACTTATTTTTTGTTTTCTTTTGATTTTGTTACTTAATCCTGTTGACATGACAGTTCATTGAAACTTGACAGCAAAAATGACATTCGAAGTTTTTACCAAAATTCTACTTTGTGATACAGTGACAATCTGTTTTGAAAACAGTACCCAGCCTATGTAGTTCAAGAAAGCAAAAAAGAACTTATACACAGGAAAAATACAAGGGGAATATACTTTATTTTTGCTTATATATTTTAAAGCAAAATTCTAGCTCTTGGTGAATGCTAGCACAAGAATGGCTGCATAGATATATGAAGGATTTGACTAAGTTGTAACTCTGAGGCCCTTTGTATATGGAAATTACTGGTTTGGTAACTCTAATAGCAACTAGGATATTTTCAAATTCTAGGGCTGATAAAGCTTTGTCCTGTTCCTGACACTCACCCAAAATAAAAAAAGTGGGAAAAAAATCAAATTAAAATTGTTTAGGTAAAGCAAAATTTTGTTGTAAAATATCTGGCTTATGTGGATGAAACTTAACTGGGAAAAACCTATGAAATTCAATAACAGATTCTTTTTCTCTGTATTCACAGTAGCACATAATTCACCCATTAAAACCAATATTGTTCCTGATGATTTGCATGGAGATCAGCATGCTTTGGTTTTTTAAAATTTATTTTAAAGTTTGATTTTCAGATCTTTTTAAAATCTAAGCCATTAAACAGAATTGAAACAAAATAATGAGAATCTAAACTGCTACAGCACTTACAGGCATATTGTCAAGAGTCTTTGTTATTAAATTTTATTTTAGAGTCCTTTGGAGGAGTAATGCGAACTTGGTGTTATTTTTTTTCTAATTTTAACAATCTGATCTAATTCTCAATAATCTAGCCTTCTCCCAGTTTCTCTAAGATCAGATTAGTTTTTTGAGATAATTAAATTTAGATACAATGAACAATCTATTGAAATAGGATTGAAGATCTCTTGAAGAAGAAGCTCTACGACCACATCTTTTCAGAATATAAAGAGACTCATAGTCTAGGATTCTCCATTTCCATTTTACAGTTTTTATATTTTAACAATCAAATTACAAACTTCACTTGAATACAATGCATACACTAGAATATGTAAAAATGTGTTACATACTTTCTGCATTATTATGAGCAATTTCTCATAAAATAAAACTAAAAACATTATATATAGCTAATTTTAAAAGTACATAGTACTACTTAAAAAAAGCTTTTAAAAATTTAAATCTAATGTGGGGTGTTTTAGAAAATAAATTTAAAGAAATTTTAGGTATTAACTTATCCTCCAGTCACTTCATAAAAGGTAGCAATTTTTAGAGTCATATGTTTCTAATTTTTAGATTTCCTTTTCTGTTTTCGTTTTTGTAAGGTCCATTCAATATATTATATGAGTTTTGCTTTGTAATTATTGCTACAAGTAAGAGATAACACAAGGTTTGAAAAAACTGAAACTGAGGAATTATAAAGCTGATTCATAAAGAAATATACATCAAAACATGCTCACATAAAGAAAGTACTTTGCTTTATCACAGAGCAGGTCTTTGCTTCATCTTATTTCCAGGGAAATATTTTTCACTTTGATGGCTGTTTTGAAAAGAAAATAATTAAATAATACATGTTTTGTCCCATTACTGTTGATCCTCAAAAGGGATATTTAAGCTTCTTGTAAAATAAGGTTTAGAGTAAAATGGGTTCATTATCCGATCTCAAATTTCTTGAAGGTAAAGATTCTTCTCCACCTCAGTTAACAACAGAAGAACCCTTCATCGCTATTAGTGGCCAAACATAAAAGCATAAGCACCAACTTAATCTGCTGTTTATGAATTTGGCTTTAGTGACACAGGCTATAACCTAAAAGCTCTTGAGATATGAATATACTTTCATTTGCCCATATAATTTGTTTTGATTCCTGAAGATTAATTTAAGCTGTTGGGGTTCTTTGCTGCTATTAATGATGGACAATGGTGACACTGCTGTGCCATTAAATTTGCCTGAATACCTCAGACTTCTTCCCATTATCCTGTGCATCTCTTTCATCTTTTGATGCTGTGTAACCTCTTATGACTTTTTCAGCAAAGAGAGCTAGTGATGGTATTAGTGTATATAAGCCAAGATTCTGTTTTACTGTGTATGTCAGAGAAAGGCTACCACACTTAAAGAGTGAAACAGTCTAAATATCACTGCAAGGTGATCAGAATACAAATGACAAGTTGAGAGGAATTTTAAAGAGGCAAAAAAACATACTAGAAAGGAATAGTAGAATCTAAAAAGAAAGCTAGCATTATTCATAGTTTTATCAGAACTATCATAGTATGTCTAAGTTCAAAATGTTATTTTTATAGACTGTATTGCTTGACAAATAATCATATACTTCCAGTCAAGGAGAAAAGCTGGAAATAATCTGAAAAGTCAAAAAAAAGGGTAGTATCCTTCATTTGATTTAAAGAATGTTTCAGTTTATTGCAGTTTATCCATCATTACACATTTAGTACCTGGGTAATAAGTAACTAAGATAAATGAGATCCTGAAGTATATTTTTCAGGCAATAAAATAGTTTTTCTCATTATTTCCCCTTGGAACTGTTCCTGTAGGTGTTCTATAAATTGCAGTTTCTTGGGATTATATTAGCATGACAATAATTTTCTACGAAGCATTTGACAAAATGTTTCAAAAAGGCATATTTAGAATAGATAAAAATAACACATTTTTAAACACATATAAAACTGAGCTGATCAAAAAGATAACAAAAATGAACAAAGATATAAAAATAGGAATGTGAAGTTACAATTTTAAGTACATACTGAGAGACTGAAATAAGCATGTAGAATTACAGAAGTTCCAAGTGGTGCAGAAGTACTTTTTACTTCAGCATGACTTTCTGCAATTTCATGCATCAGTTCATGCTCATATTCCAAACATATTTAGTTTTAAGTGTGTGTGTTAATCATTGGCTTTTCTTTAAAAAGTTATGATTTAAAATAATGAGAAAACAGTAAAGTTAAACTAATTTTAACAAACACATGCAGTAAACAACAAACTCAAGAAGTTACTCCCTACACAAGAGTTCTGCAGTTATAAAATAGGCATAAAAGACTCACGCCTTTTCAGAGATCAATATTACATAGAGAAATGTGGGGTGAATGTAAAAGACAGTCACACTCCAAAACTTGCTAAAGTCAAAATGAACATACACTCTTTGACTTCCTCTGAACACTGAATCTGATTCTAGAATTCTCCAGAGCCCCTCAAAATATATATATATATATAAAAAAATAAATATAAATTTAAAGAATAAAACTTAAGGGAAAAAAGATCAAAGTATCTATGATATTTATTACTGGAATGCAGAAAATGCTGCATTATCTGAGAACTAAGCAGAAGTATCCAATCTGCCTAGAAGTATTAAAAAGTGCTAGGGAGAAGTAAGGTCCAATTGGAGAGTAGTTTCACTATTTTCTTCATTCCTCAATAGAAAAAGAAAATGAAGCAAGAATAATTAAAAGAAAAATTATAAGATATTAAAAATGAAAACAAGAAATCAAGACACATGGTCCTGAGATGAACTATGATATGGTATTATAAGAATCCTAAAGGTGCTCAAATCAACTCAAAACTGGATAGTGCAAAATACACACTAAAGTGCAGTCAGATCCTGGCAAATATGTGATCAAGATAAAGACTTGGGTGCAGAGTTAGAAAGTTCACCAAAAGCATTCATGGTCAAGACTACAGCCTTCAAACCATTGCCACCTCTGTCCCAATATGTTACACTGACATAATGTACAATGTAAATTACCAACAGAAATATTTAGAACTTACACAGCAGTACTCACTAACATTAAAACACTGCTTGTGTGAATTACATCGTGCAATCTTCTCTTCTCTGTACTGTCTGTCAAAGGCAGAACTATTTCTGTTATTTTCATGTTATTCTTGTATTCATTCTTTTCTTAAAACTCCACACAGCACAAGCAGTGATTGCCTAGCTGCCTTCTTGTAAATCACTTCAGTGCTATTTATTTAATCACATTGAAAAAGATAGTTTTGTAATTAAGGTTACACAATAAATCCAAAGATATGGTTACTTGAAGGCTTTAATTGAAAAACCCTAATGAACTATGAGGAAGCTTTAAAAAAATTGAAACACTCTTAACATCTTCTTCATATAGCCCAAACATCTTCATATAGCCCAATCAATTTTCAATGACATAAAAAATAGTTTGATTTTGAATGACAATTTTGAATACTTTCTCCTCAGTTTTTACCAGAATAAAATTACAGAACTTTTTCAATATCTGGAAATTGTCAAAAATTATACAGATGCTTTTAGAATGTAATAAAATACTGCTTGCATATTAAAAGTGACACAAGAACAATTTCTATCTGTTCAATGGTGTTTTTCAGATATGCAGCTTTCAGAAATGTGTCACAATTGTAATATAGCAGTCTCTAAATGAATTCTGTAAATATCTTAAATACAGTCAGATAAGCCTCTTCAGGGATGCAGAAAGACAATTCTGTCTGTTAATCACATAATTCTTGATATGTACTTGTATGGTGAAGCTTCTACATTTTTGGAAACACCATCTGAGATATCGCAGAAATAATGTATAAATAGAATATTACTTGCCACAGTGATTTCTTTCATATTATAATAACCACATATTTCCACAATTGTCTTTATTTTTGCTCATGGGTAACTACGTTATCCATTCTTACAAAAGCTAGCAGCTGCATTTACATTCACGTCATCTTTTGCACACAATGAAACAAAAAAGAGTGGAAATTCTACTAGAGCCTTTTACAGGCAGTAGTAAAGTTACTGATAAAGATAAGTGTAGAATTTACAGGTCATCTGCTCTGTGTGCACTACATTGATACTCTGATATGCTACAGTATACAAATTCAGTATACAAATAGCAATAGCAACATCACTGAAATAAAACACATTAAACTTGTTTCTTCTAAAGATCAAGTAAGTTAAAATATCTGTATTTTTCTGATAGAACACTTCCTCCCCCTCTAAGTAAAAAAAACAAATGTCAGTAGGAATAATGGTAAGAGCAATACCCTCTTAGTAGTGAAAGAGGTCTATGCACAGCTTGTGTGGGGCCCCGTGTTTTCAGCTACAGAGCTGGGACATGTGACACAGAACCAGTGTCAGGGCACAACATGGGTTGGTGGCTCCCTGGATGCCATGGGCGCTCCCCTAACGTCTGTCAGGGCAGGGTCCTTGCTAGTTAGTTCCCATCCCATCACCCTGGGATGCAGTGGGTTGATCCTATCCAACAGCAAAACAACCCCGACCTGCTCACTAACTCCCTGCTCCCTACCATGGGATGGTGGAGACAATAGGAAAAGCAAAATTAAGAAAATTCTTGGGGTAAGATTAAGACAGTTTAATAAGTGATGGAAGAAGAAGAAATCAATTGATGCAAAGGTAATTGCACACTGTACACCCCAAGCAGACCAATGCCCAGACAGTCTCCAAGCATTAGCTACTTTTGAAGACCAAATCTCCATTTTTTATTGCAGAGTATGATGTTTTATGGTACATAATACCCCTCATCTTATTTGGGCCAGCTGTCCTGCCTGTGTTTCCTCCCCCCTCCCCTCACAACCCCTTGCCCATCCCCAGGGTGCTTGCTGGGTGAGCAGTGCGACAACAGAAGGGCTGTACAAGCACTGTTCAGTATCAGCTCAAATACTGGTGTGTTAGCACTGCTTTGGCCACAAATAAGAAACCCACTGCCACATGGGCTGCTATGAAGAAAGTGACCTCCACCCCAGCCAGGCCCAGTACATGTCCCAGCCAGGAGCAGGGTAGCCAGGGGAACTGGGACATCCCCAGCTCTGAGCACCAGGCATCTCCTTGGCAGCAGGGATGGGCTGAGGCTGGGCCTGGACATGGGACCCTGGGTGGCCCTGGCTCGTTGGGGCTCATGGCTGGTCATGGCTGGGCAGGACAGGGCTGTGAAGCTGGAGACTGGCCCTGCTGCACTGGTGGGGCTGCAATGGGATCCCGGGCTGTGGGAAGGTTGGGGTGAGCCCCAAGGAAGGGAATCAGCAAAAGCCAGGGCTGAAGGTGCCCTCAACAGACTGATAATCAGATTCAAAGTGTGGCTTTAGATCCCTGTTTGAATTCTTCAGGTGGATGGTTGCTGGTGTTCTTTTTGGTTTTTGTTTGTTTGCTTGTTTGGGGTGTTTGTTTACTTGTTCCACCTCCCCTCCCCCCGATAAAAAACATCTGTGGAATGACTAAAAAGCAAGAAAACTGGCCAACAGCTTTTATGACTTAAACACTGTCACATTTACTGGTGTATTATAGTATATGGAAGACATAATACATATCAGATTCTGTCAAGTAACATTGTACTAACACTACCAAACAATCATCCTCACTTGTTTGTTCTTAACAGAGTATGATAAATGAAGTTGTTTATCCCAAAGTCGTTAGTATCATGTAGATGGATAATTTTAGTTATATAAAAATGTGTCTTAAAAACAGGTCTGAAAATGACAATTAAAATTTATAGAGGAAAAGCATTCATGGGGTGTGTTAGTTATTTGTTTAACATTTCTGCACTGTTTTTACATTTTAATTGGATTGTAGTAATTGAATCAAATTTTAGTTCTTTGGCTTAACATATTAAACCCCCAATTTTTAGAGGGATAGAACCTCTGCTTTTCTCAGATGTCTCATTTTAAAAGGAATATTACTGGCTATTTTAAAATGCTTGAATTTGATAGGAATCATTGGATTAAGAACTTCAATCTAGAGAGGGGAAAATTTTACATATAGCATTTCACTGAGTTTCATAAATAAATTTTGAAAAGTATGTGCTTCCCAAAGGTATTGCAGACAGCACACATATAAAAGGTCAGATTTTCTTTGTATCACCTGACAAAACTGGGAGACTGACCATCTTCTGAGAAAAACTGTAAGCAAGTTGTGTAATTGAAATGGCATTCTAATTACACACTTTATTCTTTTTGATTTGTTTAAAGCAAAGATTGTCTGGAGAAAAAAAGAAAGAAGGGATTAAACACTACCTAAGTATGGGACTTTTTTAAAACAGTCTAGAATTCTACAGCTCATTTCTGTTTCATTCTTTTTAAACTAATTTTTACAAAAGTATTAGGTAAGTCATCTGTTGTGAAACAGAATTCTTGTTACTAGGTATGCAAATTATCCAAGCAAGACTTTTTCAGGCTATACAATTAACACTGGATTCTCTGTAACACTTCAATCCCTTGCCTGTGTGAAAAATCCACAAGTATCTACTAATACCACAGGGGGTTTATTTCATGATGTATCTTGTCTTTAAGAAAACAGAGTAACTGCCAACTCACTACAACTACAAATACCTTAGAATAAATAAGGTAAGAAATACTTGGCCTAACCACTCAAAGAAAAACCTGACCTTGACAACTTCAAAAAGTGAAACATTTACTCCCCACTAGGAATTCTGTAAACTATCCAGGTTCAGTAAGATTTTCAGAGGACCTTGAAAGAGGTTAAATTTCCAAAGCTTATTGAAATTCAGTGGCATCTCTGGCTTTAACTTATTTTGAAATCTCAGCTGACAGCTTCACTTGATAAAGGAAGACAAACCCAGACATAACCAACAGGTATCCATTTACAATGAAACTGCCACAAAAATATTAAATTTTTACCGGTGGAGTGCTGAAAATATAGAAGGATGAACCCTTCAGTGCCAGAAACTTGAATTTGTAGAGCTGAGATGAATCAGTTCCTTCAAGTCTCTCATTTACCCATCCCATATGTATGACCTGTAAAAGAAAATCACTGAAAATTAAAGCTCTATTTTAAGTGGATCATAAGAGTGGTTTTATTAGAATGGGATGCATCATACCCTTCACATTTGCCTTCCCACCACTGCCCACTACATATTCTTGAGGCATATAGTATCATGCCAGTGTGTCAGAAGTCCCTGAAAAGAATTAAATTTACAGTACTGGTAGTCTGAATCTTATCTGAAATAATCATAGTTTTAAAAGCCATCTATGTATCTCAAAGCAGACTCTCACTTGAGCCAGCAGAAACCTATGTGTACAGAAGTATATAGATATATTAAATCAAACAGCTTTCTCTAGGTTCATGTTTGCCACTGTTAACAAAGTCTTTGCCACACTTACTCTCTTTCAGAGTATATACACTTTTTCATATACACTTTGTCTAGGTTCTTGTAGAATTAGATGTCAAGTTCAGTGGTTACAAAACTATCACTGTTACAATACATGCCTTTATTGTCCAGAAATTAATGCTAAGAAAAAAACAAAATTAAGAAGTAAAACTGCATGCTTCCTCTTTAAGGTAAATGCAAATTTATAAAGGAATAATGTCATAGTGTGGTAGCAGAATATAGTGAATATAGTTACCGACAAAAAATAACAAGTGAAAAACATTCTAGGCTCCATTTGGCACACATTAAAAGGAAAATATTGCTCTTGAAACAGGTATTTAAATCTAGACTGAGTCACCAATCTGAACATACAATTCTTGCTGATAAGCTTGCTTATTTTCAATTAAGGCTACACCTACAGGCAGTAATGATTTACACAGGGGCAGAAATGTCAAAGCACTAGCTAATAGTATAGACGAATGCTTATACTAATATATCATGAAAACCTCACACATTGTTTTCTAACGTTGGTATTTAGTGTCTCAGTTATGTCTCTTATCAATCAATTTATCAGTAAATGAATAATAAATCGATGTGTTGAGCCAGACAACCCTTCTCTATACTCCATTAACATTTTAAGGAGATCTAAGAAACAGCACAATAAATACAGTAGCCCTTTCAGTTCTTGATTTGCTATTCTGTAAATTTAATAACTTTCACTAAAAGACTGTTTCTATAGCAGTCAGTAAGTGTTGAAACAGGATATTCAGAAACCTCATCACTTTAACAAAATATACTATATTATTGTTGATATTGTATTACAAATTATATTATTTATTTAGTTTATCAGGGTGGTAATGTAATATCAAATAATACAAACAAAAAGAATGACCAATACTATATTTTCCTTTACATTCATAAAGTCATGGTTGCTGACTTGCAAACTGACACCACTTATTATGGCAACCTAAAAAGTAAGTGCTAATGAATGTGAAAGAGGAAGAGGAAAAGACTAAGCAGAAGACATTTAAAAAGATAAAGAATTTATTAAGAAAAAAAAGAAACAGCAGAAATTAAAATGAAAATAACAAAAACAAGTACACTATACAACTTTACAAAGAGAGGAAAATCAATTATGAAATATCAGGGAGAAAAAATTTAAAGAAAAGAAAATTTCAAATGTATATTTGCCTATAAACATATAAAGTCCCCAGAAAGTAAAGAATGAAAATAAAAGAATTATATTTATCAGAATCAGTTTGATTAACTTATATTAACTTATACATATACTGATAAAATAATAAAATTATGTATCTTTTTATAGATAAATTAAAAATATATAATTTTTTTTATTTCTTTCCACACAACTTTCTTATTTACTGGTTTATTTAATGGTTGTTTAGACCACAGAAATGAAGAAATAATAATTATTCAGTTCCACAAAGGCAAACAAGAGTTGGTACTCAATAACCCTTAATAATAAGCTGTTCATAGATGGGTTATGGAGATTTTAATTGGATCTTAGTATGTGGGTAGGAATATTAGTCTTGGGATAAAAACTGGTCAGTTATTTGGATCAAAGCCTTCCATTTGAAGTGTTAAGGAGTGCTCATAAAGCTTAACAATACAAACTGTCTCATTCTCAGCATTGCTTTCACTGCTATTCAAAGCTACATGGAAAACTACCCTTATACCATTGATGTATTGTTAAGTTTCTATATTATACCACGTTTTATATGTTCTACCACACTTTCCAAAAGTTCCTGTAGGAAGAAAATGAGCAATGGCATTCATTATACGGAAATAAAACAAGTCACTAACAAAACATAATCCAATCATAGCAGATAAATGAAAGTTCTTATTTGCACCTATTGATTTTCTACAGGAATAGAGCATCTAGGTACTGCAATGACTAGAAACCTAACATGTATTAAATTTAATAAAGCAGTCAGTAAATTTCGTATATAGTACTTTTAGTTAAATAGCTATTAAAAGTAAATGACGCAAAACACTCCAAAGGGAACTGAAGAAAAAATCAAGTAGATCTCTATGTATGACACGTCAAAACAGACTTGGGTACACTTACATAATTAAAGTGGGATAAGAAGCTACAAGAGATGCCAGTTTGACCTGAAAGTTAACCACCTGTGTCGTACCATGAGGCACAGTGGAACAATAACAAATTAAGAAAGCAAAGAGAAGTACATCTTGAGGTAGCTGTAGCAATTTTTTTTGGTTTTATTTTTTTTCCAAAGTGAGTGGTATATGGGATATTTTGAAAGGTACAGATACTGGGGGTAGAAGGGAAGGCAAGCAGTCATTTCACATACATAAAGCCTAACTAAAAATAAAATAAAAATTAAAATAGAATTGGAATGCTGTAAGTTTTAATATTTTACATTAATGTTTTCCATTGTATATCAGTTGCATTCAGCTATGTCCAAATGGCTACTCTTTAAAGTGTAACGTTTTAGAGAGCAAGCTATAGAGGAACTTAAAAATTATGACACTCAAGTGTTTTATGTGCTTTAGCTCAAGAACGAAATTTGTAACTCCAAGTGAGGCACGGTTTGAACACCACAAATGGCAACATGTGTACTCATCTGAAGGGAACTATGAAGACAGGTATGTATCTGAATTCATGAGTCATCACAGCCATTGTCTGCCTGCACAAAATTTGTATTCTGAGTCCTTCTGGGTAGAAATAATAGTTTCTACTCTTTGCTTGTTTTAACAAGGAGGCTGGTAAATTGGACCTGATATTGCTCACCTTTCTTCATTATAGCCTTCTTATTCAAGTCAAGATCCAGAGCACAAAACTCTCTCTTGAAGACAGGTACCGCCAGTAAGTTACCTCACTGGTTATGCATTCTCATATTACACTTGGTCAGCAGCAGTATTTGTGCAGCAGGAACGAACCAAACCAAATAAAAATGGAATACTCAGGTCCTTCACTACTTTCTTTCTTTTTGGCTTAAACATCTGCTCTATATTTTAACAATATTACAACAACAATAGTATACATCTAGCAAGCAGAAATTAAAAAAGAAACAATTTCAAACTGTAGCTTCTTACCTCACTGCATATTAGCTGACCAGAGGTAAAAAGTTTAAGTGTTTTAAAGAGGTACTCCTTCTGTTAGAGTAAGTTTTTTCAATTGAGGACCTGAGGTCCCAGAAAAAGTCTCTGAAGCAGACCAAGACAATTTCATTAAGAATTGAAAAACTGACCTCACATACAAACAAAGTTAAAACAACTACCAAGGAAGATAGTTCTATCTCTGTGGTCTCTTTACGCTTAAAGGAATTTAGTCCTGCTCCCTTTCTACAGGTGTAAATTGTAAAATTATGGTCTGCAAAAAATCTAACTTTCCCAGATTAACAATTAGGATAAACTAATTGTATTGCTACATGTTATATTTTTAAAAACATTTTAATCTATTTCTAGAAAGCAAAAAGCCAACAGCAACAAAAAAAAACCAAACAAAAAACCAAATAAAACCCCCTCTAACCAAACAAAAAAAATGTCCCCCCAAAAAACTGAACAACCAAAACAAACAAACAAACAGATAATCCTGTAAACTGGAGGTGTAGGGAGTTTTTTATATGCTGCAGGATGAAGCCAGGCAAACAGAGTTGAAAGGAGGCTTCTGAGAAACGTAGTACTCTGAGTATAAAATTATCATTCCTGAATATTTCTTTTATACCTCTATGTCTTTCAACCTGCCCACAGGGACCTCTGGTCAATACCTTTTTGGAAACATAGTGCACAAAATCAGAATAAGTATTCCTGCCAAAGTCTTATACAGCAAAAGGAATGCTTAGCATGTCTTACAGTAACTCATTTGAGTACAGCCCACAATGTTTGCCTCTTTCTCAAAAACCACAAAGGAGACATGGTTGTTACCGCAGGAAGGTAAAACCCAGCCCTGGCCTGATGTTAAACTGACAAGGCAACAATGTGAGAAACTGCTGGACACTGCACACAACATGAAGGGAAAAGTTGGCTGGTTAGCCTACAGCTATACTAATACAGCAATAAGGGGATAAACGAGCAGGTGAAATATACAACAAGGAGATCAAGAATGGGTGAAGAATGTCACAAGATAATGAAAAGGGTGACTGCTTTATGGAGAGTTTTGGTGATATCACAGATTAAGGCTGAAATAACCAAATAAGCACATAAGAAGGAGAAAAAATAAGGGCCAATGGAGAAGCAGTAAAGTGTGGGTGGGTTCCTTATTTGGGAGGGGGAAAAAGGAATATAAGGTAAACCAACAGAATGTAGGTTTTTGGGATCTCAGTTGATCAGCCCTGTACCTGATTATCACAGACTGATGTAATAATAAATCATAATAATGATTGATAACAATGAATCTGTTGTTTTTCTTATTATCTCTATTTGACTGGCTTCTGCAGATGGAGGTATCTGAGATAACCTCTCTAAGTTCTAGTAAGAAACCGAGGATGGACCAAACCTTCCTAAAAGAATTTACACTCCCAGATATCTTTCAAGCATTTTCCGGTGACAACTTCCTTAATTTTTCCCAGTCTCTCACGCATACTTGATTATTCTTGCATATATGCTGCATCCTAACCCGCTTCATCCCTCTTTTTCAGAGTCATTCTCGAATATGTCAAAATCATT